CGGTGTGTCCCTGGGGATTCCCTCCCATCCCGGTGTGTCCCTGGGAACTCTCTTCCATCCCAGTGTGTCTCTGGGAAGTCTTTTCCATCCCAGTCTGTCCCTGGGGATTCTCTCCCATTGTATCCCTGGGGATTCCCTCCCATCCCAGGATGTCCCTGGGGATTCCCTCCTATCCCGGCATTCCTGAGGATGCCTGGGGATTCCCTCCCATCCCAGTGTGTCCCTGGGAAGTCTTTTCCATCCCAGTGTGTCCCTGAGGATTCCCTCACATCCCGGTGTGTCCCTGGGCATTCCCTCCCATCCTGGTGTGTCCCTGGGGAATCTTTTCCATCCCCGTATGTCTCTGGGAAGTGTTTTCCATCCCGGTGTGTCCCTGGGGATTCCCTCTATCCCATTGTATCCCTGGGGATTCCCTCCCATCCCGGTGTGTCCCTGGGGATTCCCTCCCATCCCGGCATTTCCGGAATGTCCCTGTGAATCCCTCCCATCCCGATTTATCCCGCAGCTCCCTCGGAAGGCTCCATCCGCCTGGTGAACGGTTCAGGGCCTCACGAGGGGCGCGTGGAGATCCTGCACGGGGGTCGCTGGGGAACCGTCTGCGACGACGGCTGGGACGGACCCGACGGAGCCGTCGTGTGCCGGGCACTGGGATATCCCGGAGCAGAGGACGTGTTCCGCATGGCCCGCTTCGGACAAGGTGGGAATAACCTTGGGAATATCGGGAATACCGGGAAACGGCTCCCCCGGGGAATGGGATTGGGATCTGGGAGGTGCTGGGAGAGGCATTGGCCAACCTCAAGTTTGGGAAGGGAAGGTTTGGGAAGGGGACGGGAGGGGAGGGGAGGGAAGGGAAGGTTTGGAAAGGGAAGGGAAGGGAAGGGAAGGGAAGGGAAGGGAAGGGAAGGTTTGGGAAGGGAAGGGAAGGGAAGGGAAGGGAAGGTTTGGGAAGGGAAGGTTTGGGAAGGTTTGGGAAGGTTTGGGAAGGTTTGGGAAGGTTTGGGAAGGGAAGGGAAGGTTTGGGAAGGTTTGGGAAGGGAAGGGAAGGGAAGGGAAGGGAAGGGAAGGGAAGGGAAGGATCCTGGAATGGTTTGGGTGGGAAGGGACCTCAAAGCTCATCCAGGTCCACCTGGAACAGGGACACTTCCCGCTATCCCAGGGAATCCAACCCGGCCTTGGACACTCCCAGGGATCCAGGGGCAGCCACAGCTTCTCTGGGAATTCCAGCCCAGCCCTCAGGGTGTCCCTGTGTATCCCTGACTGTATCCCTGGATATCCCTGTGTATTCCCTGTATATTCCCATGAATTCCCACTTATATTCCCACATTCCCTGTTCCCCTCAGGCTCCGGCAGGATCTGGATGGACGACGTTTCCTGCACGGGCACCGAGGATTCCCTGGAATTCTGCAGCTTCTCGGGATGGGGACGGACCAACTGCGGGCACGCCGAGGATGCGGGGGTCAGGTGTAGGGTACCCTGAGCTTTTGGGGTCAGTTGGGCTCATTTGGGGTCAGGTGACGGACCCCCTGAGCTTTTGGGGTCATTTGGGGTCATTTGGGGTCAGGCGACGGACCCCCTGAGCTTTTGGGGTCATTTGGGGTCATTTGGGGTCAGGTGTTGGACCCTCTGACATTTGGGGTCATTTGGGGTCATTTGGGGTCATTTGGGGTCATTTGGGGTCAG